GAATGGTTGTAGTTGCATTATTGTTTCTATTTTCAGATATTTTATGGCTATTCTGACGTTGAGATTATTAAGTTATTTATCTGATTTTATTGTTATTGTGAAATTGTTGGCTTGCCTAGCAAGCAGTGTTAGACGTCGTCACGGCTCATGAGAGTTTGGGTCGTGTAACTTCTAAATATATGCAGGTTTGTGCTCTTCTCTACAAGGAAGTTTCTATTGCTTTAAAGATTAACAGTTTATACAGTAAAAGAAAATTTCTGAAAATTAACAAAAATGTTAAAATCTTGCGATACTCAAATCATTTTTTCGCAGGGATCTACTTGTGGTATGTAGTATTGTATGACCATTTGAAGTGATATTATGACTAAAATCAATAATGTACGTATAATTATGGAGTGATAATATTTTTAAAGATTCGAATGTGAGTCTTATTGTGCTTTGGCTTATTATGTCATTGGTCAAGGGAAAGGCATATAACATGCCATTAATTATGGGTATGATGGTGGGTTCAAGACTTCAACCCCTAGCGCACTATGAGAGTAAGACATCGGTTCAAGTCCTAGTGCACCATGATGATAAGAGTTGGGTTTGAGTCCCAACTCATTATGATCTAATATGACTTTTTATGGGTAAGGCATTGGGTTTGAGTCTGTCACGACCCAAATCCATGTGACTGGCACCCGGTATACTATCCGACCCAAGCAAACCAACACATATGATGCACCCAAACCATATGAATGAAACTAATATAACTGTGGAAGCTCTTTGAAAAACACATATATTTTGAAGTTAAATGATGGAATATGTTTTCTGATTCAACAATACATGAAGCCTCTCATAATCATAACAATGAGGCTAAGTAAAATAAATATCTATTCATGTATATCGTGTACAACCCCATTACTATAACTTTTCACAACTATTTATGGAGCCTCTATAATAAATATAGAATTAAACACTTGGGCTAATGCCCGACTAACATAAATTAAGAAGACAACATGATAGATACCACGAAATAGGAGTGGTGCCTCACCACATACCTCGAAAAGAGATTCATCCTAGACTTGTTAACAGCCATGTATCATACCTCATCCTCAAAATATGTAAAGTAAGTGGGGGCCTGGAGGGGGACCCTGAGGGCTGAGTACACCACTATGGTACTCCATAAATGTCATAAACTCTCTCTAACTCAAGTTCGTGGGACAAGATTTATACAACAAAACTATACAACCAATATTTGACATAAAGTGATAAGCAATTATATAAATCATGATCTTTAATTGTTGTTTGAAGAAATTGTAAGTTTGATTGTTGGCCCCCAATGCCGACTTTTCGAGCGGAGTTGAATTTTTTTATAAATTGTTAAATTGTAAGCATTGGAGTATATTTTGATTAATTTGCATGTTATTTGACTAGTTTTGAATCGTTTGGCTTGGAATTTAGGAGATAGGAAGGCGTTCGGAGGTTGATACATGCGGAATAGAATTTTCGAAGTATTATTTAGCTTGCTCGGCATCGGATTCGGCTTGTTCGAGGTAAGTAACATTTCTAAACTTTGAGTTGAGGATTTGAACCCTGAATATACGTGTTATGTGATTTGTTTGGAGGTGACACACATGCTAGGTAACAGGCGTGTGGGCGTGCACCGTAGAAATTATGACGTAATTGATTCCGTAGAATTTTGTAGTCAAATAATCTTGGCATTATCCATGTATTTTCATATGTTAAAGAAATTGAGCTGTGAATCATATTAAAAATTATATTGAGGCTATATGTCGGTATTATTGAGACCCACAAAGGTCGTATTGTTGTTGAATTATTTGTTAAATTATAATTTCATACCCAGTCATGTTCATTCAATTCATATCATATCTTAGTCTCTGTTGCTATTTATTGATACATCATATCATTATTTTTGGGCTGATTTCATGACATTGTGAGTCTGAGAGACTGGAGATTGACGATTAAGTTGGGCCATGAGGGNTAGATCATGGCTTCATGTCGCAGTAGGCCTTATCGGCTTTATTATTATGGGATCAGGCTGCACGCCGCAACAGGTCAGATTGGCTTATATTAGCGCTTGGGCAGGATTCGCCCCTCCGGAGTCTGACATACCAGCAGTGAGCGCAGGCACGATGACATATAAATATATACACGTGCTTTGGTGAGGGGCTTATGAGCCAGGCACCCGTATAGTACTGAGTGATTATGTGTGTGTGTGTGTGTGTGTGTGTGTGTGATAAAGTGAGCATTTGAGACAGACAACTTGAGTATGTCGAGGGCGAGAGTGTCTGGGAATATTATCGAAAAATCATTTATTTGACGTGCATACTTGGTATGTAGGCATATGGATGCATTTTTCCTCATGTTATGCAGTATTGTGACATTCATGGTCTGACATGTAGGCGTAGAGATGTACTTTCCTCATGTTAACTGAAAATGTAACATCTTAATTATTGTTGAAAGGTTTTTGGGAAAATTACAGTTTTCAAATTTACTCATATTTTGGTAATTTGGTGAAAAGAACTAAGTTTTACTCTCATCTTTGAAAAACTATGTATATTTTTTCGGAAATTGTGAACGAACAGAGCATCATATCTTGAGTTATTACTTGTATTGTTTTATTTATGTTGTTATAAACTGTTTCCTGGCTGTTGATAATGGACTCTAAATTTTGTCCAAACTCGTCACTACTTTCAACCTACGGTTAGGTTTTTTACTTATTGAGTACATGGGGTCGGTTGTACTCCTACTATATTTCCGCACCTTGCGTGCGGATATTAGATGTTGATATTGCTGTATATGGCGGGAGCTAGCATTGAAGATGTACCTACGATCCAGTCACAACTGCCTCTTGTTCTAGGTAGCTTTAGAATTTTTAAATCTATCCATGTATATTTCAAACAGATGACGTATTTTTATTTCACACCAACTTTATAAATTCAAATCTTAGAAGCTCATGATTTGTACTACCAGTCCTTGGGGAGTGAATTAGAGTAAGTTAAATATTAATTGAATCGGATTGTTATTATTTGGCTTACCTAGCGGGTGAGGTTAGGTGCCATCACGGCTAGTTGGATTTTGGATCGTGACAAGTTAGTTTTAACGAGTCACATTATCCTTGGACATCCAAGGGGGAGTGTTATGAAATACTATGTTATGATGGATGTTCATAACTCTTAAAAGAATAATATCCACTCTTTTCTATTATCTCCATAACTCCTACTACTCCAATACTTATGGTTGTAACTATCATACCTTTATAACCTTCCCCGTGATCTTCTTCCATGATCTCAAATGTTTAATGTCATGTTTATGCCATTCTTTTGTATACCTCTAGGTAATACTATAAATAAAGGATAAAAAACGATATTCTACACACTTGAAAAATACTTGGGAAATACTTGAAGAAATAAGAAAGTTCTCTCTATTCCTCTCTACATCTCTTGTCTATTTTCTAGTTTCATATTATTATTTTGAGCTATATTTCGTAACAAAACTTGAATTTTATATTAAGTACTTATAAGTTATCTCAATTTAAAGTATATCTGTTAGAAATGTAATTATTTAAATCAATATCTTCAACTTCCATTTTATTAATATCAATTGATCATTTTGCAAAAATAGAGAGAATAAATAGTCCTTTGTTCCTAAAAGTGTGGATACACTCTTTGTTTCCTTGTTTTCTCCAACGGTTCAATCACTCTTGCATTAATAGTTTTTATTAAAAAAATATCTACATCTTATAGTATTTTTCTGTATTGTTTTAATCTCTAACTTTTGATTTTAAAAATAAACTATACCAATTCAATCATATTCTGGAAGCCAGTTAAATGAACTCTTTATAACAAAAAGTGTCAAACATATTATAACGGAGAAAGCATGTTATCGGGGAAAACAGGGATGGGATTTGCTTTAGTAAATTTCTATCCAGTAAAATTCAATGCCCTTTTTGATTCATACCATATGTTCATGAAAATTAGGTGAATAGGATTGATTCTATTACTCATGGTTACTAAAAGGAATTTAAAAAGTTGAAATTTTTTATTAAAATTTAAGAACGAAATAGATGTGCAGTTAGCATATTATTTCTTTGGGGGATGTTCTTTTAGCCATCTAATATTCCTTGGACAGGGTTGGGACTTGGTATTTGCTCCAGTAATGTTTGCTCCATTATCCTTCAATGTAACCCTAGATTTACGACATGTGTCTAGCTTAAAAATCAATGACAAAATTTTCTTAGTTAAAAAACATTTTAACCATGGTTCTCTTTGACCCTCTTTAATCATCCTTTAACCTGGTTCGCTATTCCCCTCTTTCATCTCTTACTATCCAAAAGCTCAAGACTGAAAAAAATGGTGACAACTAACGACCTTAGCTTGGTGCCTTGATTTCAGTTAGTAATGATTATGATCTTGATGCATTAGTTGATCGTCTCTATAGAGCACCGTCGACTGGAAGTACAGAATTTCTATTTGATTTAGTGTCACGATCCACGAAGGATCTAAGCTAAATTCAATATGGAAAGAAAATTGCAAACAAGTGGCACAATTTTCTGTATTTTTTTATAAACGGAAATGGATATCAAATTACAAAATTAAGAAGGCAGAATTAAGCTAAGCTAACTAAATGGTAACTCGACTCCATAGCTGGAAGATTTGCAGAAATTTAGAGAAGAAGAAGAAAAAGTTAGAATCGGAAAGAGAGAAGAATAAGAAAAGAGTGAGAGAGAATAGAGTGGGAAGAATGTGAGACTTGTAATCCGTTAAACTCTCCTTTCTCTCTTCGTCTAGTATATAACAACCAGTTGTCGACGTGGCTTAATCTCGTCCCTTGCTGCTCATTATTGGAAAGTCAATCGTGGTCGTTACTTTTAAAAGTTGGTTATTCCTTCTTGTGGCATCAACTCGTGTTCGAACCCAGCTAACAATACCAAATTACTCCTACTCTGCTACAACTCAGGTCATTACATACCCTCTTGCTTCAAATCATCCTTAACCTCAAGAATGAGGATCAAAGTCAGGAAATTGTGGCCTGATAAAGTGATAGTCCTTCCATGTTGCATCTTCCGGTGGTAGATTGGACCATTGCACTAATACTTTGACAACTACTGCATTGTTTTTCTTCACCATCTGTCTTTGTAGGATTGCCACTGGTTTTACTAAAAAATATCCATCCTCACTAGTGCTAGGTAGTACAGTTTGCATGACTACCATATTGCCAACCTTCCTTTTGAACAGGGATACATGGAATACAGGTTGTACCTTAGAATCTGGAGGTAGTTCCAATTTGTAAGCCACTTGACCAATTCGAGCAAGCACCTTGTAAGGCACATAGTATTTAGAACTAAGATTCACATTCTTCCTTAATGCAATAGAAGTCTGCCTATATGGCTGGAGTTTTAAGTAAAACATGTCACTAACTTGGAATTTTTTTCAGTCTTCTTCTTGTCAGCATAATATTTCATCCTTTCTTGTGCCTTACTCGGGTTGTCTTTAAGCAATTGATGCATTTGTTGTCTCCTCTTGACAACATCTTCAGCAGCTGGAACTATTGTTTCAAGGAGTGGGCCAATGGATAAGTGCAGTGGAGGATAGCCATATAAGGCTTCAAAGGAAGTGCATCTCAAGCTGGTATGGAAGTTGGTGTTGTACCACCATTCTGCAGCACTCAACCATTATTTCCAATTAGTAGGTCTGCTAGCAGTGATGCATCTGAGATAGTTTTCTAAACATTTATTCACCCTCTCAGTTTGGCCATCACTTTAGGGATGATATGCAGTAGTATAATGCAACTGAGTTCCTAGTAATTTGAACAATGCCTGCCAAAAATTACTTAAGAAGAGCTTGTCTCTGTCTGTAACAATGAACTCACGTGTGCCATGAAGGCTATGCACTCTCTTCCAGAACAAGTCAGCTATTGTTGCAGCAGTATAGGGGTGAGATAGAGCCATGGAGTGGGCATACTTTGTCATTTTGTCCACCACCACTAGTATCACATCCTTGTTTTTAGACTTAGGCAGCCCTTCAATGAAATCCATACTAATATGACATCATGCTTGGTTAGGAATGGGAAGGGGTTGCAACATACCTGGATAGGCCATATTGTCATCCTTACTTCTGACACACACATCACAGGTAGCCACAAAGCTAATAACCATTTGCTTCATCCCAGCCCAATAGAACAATTACGATAGCCTATTGAGTGTTCCCAATTGTCCAGAATGATCACCCATGGGTGAGTCATGGAAGGTAGCAATCAGTTATTGTCTTAGGTTCCGATTGGTTCCAATGTAGATCTTCCCCTTTTTCCTGAGCACACCAGAGGAATAGTGATGTAATGACCCAACCGGTCATTTTGACTTTTAAAACCTCATTCCTCTAAATAAAACTTTTTGTATGTGCTTTTATTAATTTATGACTTGTGGGGATGGTTGGTTAGGGATTTGAAAGTGTTCGGGTTGAAATCGGTTCCTTAAGTTGGCCTTAAAATGCTAAGTTTGACTTCGGTCAATATTTTTAGAAAATAATCCTGGAATAGAATTTTGATGATTCCAACAGCTCTGTATGGTAATTTTGGACTTAGGAGCGTGGTCGAAATTTTATTTAGAAGTCCGTAGTTAAATTAGGCTTGAAGTGGATAAAATAGGAATTTAAGTTTGGAAGTTTAATGGGGGAGTTGACTTTTTGGTATCAGAGTCGGAATCCAGTTCTGAAAATTTTTATAGCCCCGTCATTTATGACTTGTGTGCAAAATTTGAGGTCAAGCGGACTTGATTTGATAGGTTTCGACATCGAATGTAGAAGTTGGAAATTTTAAGTTTCATTAAACTTAAATTGGAACATGATTCGTGGTTTTAGCGTCGTTTTATGTGATTTGAGGTTTCAAATAAGTTCGTATGATGTTTTAGGACTTGTTGGTATATTAGGTTGAGGTCCCGAAGGCCTCGGGTGAGTTTCGGATGGTTAACGGATCAAAAGTTGGATTTAAAACAGCTGCTACAATTTTTCTCTTCTGCTGGAAATTCTGGGCTGTGATCGAGCCCAAGATCGAGGGTCATGATCGAAGGCTCATGCTCGAGGGCCATGATCGAAGGCAAAGACTCGAGGGCCATGATCGAAGCCACGATCGAGGCCGAGGATCGAGGCCATGATCGAGGCCCATGCTCGAGGGCCATGATCGAAGCCACGATCGAGGCCGAGGATCGAGGCCATGATCGAGGGCCATGATCGAGGGCTGCCTAGGCAGAATTATAAAAGAGTGCAATCGTCTCATTCACCATTTTTAACAAATTGGAGCTAGAGCAGAGGCGATTTTTGATAGATTTTCAAGGAAAAGACATTGGGGTAAGTGATTCTAACTCGGATTTGGTCAATATGCACGAATATATCATTATTTTCACCATTTAATTAGTGTTTTGAGATTAAAATTTGAAAAATTTTAGAAATCTCATAGAAACAAAGTTTTGAGATTTCGGTGTCGATTCGGAGTCGAATTTGAGTGAAACTGGTATGGTTGGACTCATAATTTAATAGGTTGTTGGATTTTGTGAGTTTCGCCGGATTTCGAGATGTGGGCCCCCCAGGCGATTTTGGAGCTAATTTCGAATTTTTATTTTAAAATGTAGTATTTCTTATGAAATTGATTCCTATAATTTTTGGTGACTGTATCGAATTATTTTGGTTAGATTCGAGCCAATCAAAGTTGGATAATCGAGGAAAAGGCCTACTAGTGGATTAAATTGGAGCAAGACGAGGTAAGTCTCTTGTCTAATCTTGTGAGGGGATAATTGACCCATATGTGATTAAATTAAATAATTGTTGCTAATTGCGGGGGCTACGTACGCACGAGGTGACGAGAGTCCATGCGTAGCTACTATTAATGCTAAAGTCCGGATAGTTTAGGACTCAAAGCATGAATTACTTGTGTAAAGTGTATTCTTTATTTAATTAAAACTATTTGATATATATTGTGAATTGTTAGGGAATATGGTAAAAGATGGAAATTGCATATACTTAATTTTCTGTTTAAATTAATTAATTGTTAAAAGAAATTGTTCATACTCTTGAATTGATCTTATAATAAATATACTCTCTTTCCGGAGGTACATAAGAAAATGTCCTCCTTTCTTGTGGAGCGGGCCGAACGCCTCGGCAGGATAGATGCATCTATGGATCGCGTTGCACGTCCCTCGACAGTGTACATGACACTCTGGAATGGGCCGTACCACATCGGCAAAAATCGTGCCTTATAATAATAATAAATACACGATACCTCGATGTTTTTACTTTGTAACTTGTGAATTTAATTAATGGTATGGAAGTTGTTGCAATTGAAAGAATTTAATTATTTCTGTTGATTAAATAAAATTATTGTTGACTTTGTGAATCATGCTGAGTTAAATAAATTTTTATTTTATTCTATTTAATATTGTTGACCCTTAGTGAGTGTCAAAGTCGACCATCTCGTCTCTACCTCTTCGAGATTAGGCTTGATACTTACTGGGTACACGTTGTTTACGTACTCATACTACACTTGCTGCACTTTTTGTGTAGGATCTGAGATGGGCACTAGTGGAGGACCTATCATCGTACATCCACATTATCCAGAGGCGTAGTGGTGAGCTGCCCTTCTAAGCCGTTCTGCAGCTATTAGTGCCTCCTCTTGCATTTTTATTCTGTCTATTTTAATTTCAGACAGTATTTGGAGTTTTGTATAATCTACTAGACGCTCATACATTTGTGACACCAGGTCTTGGCACACACATTGGTAGAATTTGGAATGTTATTATTTTCTTGGATTTAAGTTAATCAGTATCTTTTCTATTTTTTTTTAATATTGCTAGTAAAATAATAAAATTTCTTAGAAAATTATTCTGAAATTAATTGATATATGTTTAACTTATTAGTTGGCTTGCCTAGCTGTAGTGTTTGGCGCCATCACGACCTGTAGGTGAAATTGGATCGTGACAATATGGTATCAGAGCACTAGGTTCACGTAGGTCTCACAGCTTATGAGCATGCCAAATAGACTTCTGTGGATCGATACGGAGACGTCTGTACTTATCTTCGAGAGGCTATAGGGTGTTAGGAAACTACCTTTCTTCATCTTCCATCGTGCAATTGATGTATTACTAAATATCTTTCTCTTACTCTATCACAGATGGTGAGAACATGCTCGAATGAGGCTCCAGACCAGGGAAGAGCTACTCCCTCAGTTGCTAGAGGCCGAGGCAAAGGTCGAGGGAGGGCTCCAGCCCATGGTAGAGGACGTCCCAAGACTGTTCCAGTTATGCCACCAGTGGGTGGAGCAGAGGATCCCATTATTAAGGAACAAGGTGAAGTGCTTGTGGCAGAGCTAGCTCCGGTGGATTTCACATCTGTACCGGGATTCCAGGATGTTATGGGTCATATGTTGCGGTTTATGGACACTATGACTCAAGCCGGTTTATTTTCGGTAGACCCAGCCACATCTCGGGTGGGCGGGAGAGCACAGACCCCTACTGCGCAGGCTCACAGACAGGCAACTGTTGTATATCAGACCCAGGGTGCACTACCCGTGGGTAGAAGCCAGCCAGTGGCAACAGCTACACCTGAGCACAGGCCAGCTGCAGCCGCTGATCTGCAGAAACTATTGGACAGATGGACTAGACTACATCCTCTTGTCTTTGAGGGTGAGCAACATGAGGATCCCCAGGACTGCATTAAGCGGTGCAGGGACATACTGCACAACATGAGGATATTGAAGTCTCATGGGGTAGACTTTGCTATTTTTCAGCTAGAGGGCATATCCCGTATATGGTGGAAGTCTTATATCCTTGGCAGACCAGCAGATTCTCCTCCCATGACTTGGGACAGGTTCACCTGTATCTTCCTGGACAAGTATATTCCACCCTCCCAGAGGGAAGAGTTGAGGTTTCAGTTTGAGCAGTTCTAGTAGGGTCAGATGACAGTAACCGATTATGAGGCAAGGTTTTCTGAGTTATCTCGCCATGCACTTATGATACTACCTATTGAGGTGGAGAGAGTGCAGAGGTTTGTTGCGAGTTTACATACTGGCATTCAGGCCACTATGGCCCGAGAGGTTGAGATGGGTACTTCTTATGAGCTAGTCGTGGAGATAGCCCGGAGGATTGAGGGTGTGCGTCAGCGGAGCCGAGACCAGGTTACGAGAGATAAACGGTTTAGGTATTCTAGAGAATTTAGAGTTGCTCCGTCTGGGGGCAGAGGGCAGTCCAGCAGGCCCCCATATCCTGCACCACCGCTTCCTTGGGGTGCTCCAGTGCGACCTTATTTCAGTGTTATACTAGAGAGTTCTTTTCACCCACCAGCTATTCAGGGTTCTTCAAGTCGGTATTCAGGTCACCAAGGCTAGATTGTTAGTAGGCAGGCCATTGTACCTAAGAGTTGTTACGAGTGTGGGGATCCCAGTCACATACGAAGATTCTGCCCCAGACTTCGGGGTAGACTAGTGCAGCAGGGTCAGCATCCTATGATTACCGCACCAGTTGCTCCACCAGTAGTTCGACCACCAAGAGGTGGAGGACAGGTGGGTAGAGGTCATCCTAGAGGTGGAGGTCAACCAGGCGGAGGCCAGCCGGTTGGCTCTCCAGCTCAGTTCTATGCTTTTCTGGCCAGACCAGATGCAGAGGCCTCAGATGTCATGATTACAGGTATTATTTCTGTTTGCGGCAAAGATGCCTCTGTATGATTTGATCCGGTATCTACATATTCTTATGTGTCATCTCTATTTTCTCATTTTCTAGGTGTTTCTCGTGAGTCCTTGAGTACTCATGTTTATGTGTCCACTCATATGGGCAATTTTGTTGTTATGAATCGGATCTACCGGTCCTGTATTATTACATTCTGTGGTTATGAAACTAGAGCAGATCTTCTGCTGCTTGAGATGACCGACTTTGAAATTATTCTAGGTATGGATTGGTTATTTCCATATCATGCTATTCTAGATTGTCATGCCAAGACTGTTACCTTGGCTATTCCAACATTGCCTAGGCTGGAGTGGAAGGGTTCATCTGTTAGT